AAAAAAAAAATAAAAAAAACTGTGTGTGACGTCCACTGGTCGCGACGTCAATGTATGACACTGCGCCGTCGGCCCGTGCTCAACTCCCAGTTGCGGCGCGAAGCTGTAAGGTTTCTTCCACCAGCGTTTTGGGGTTGACTTTTTGTCGCTGCCACCAGCCTGTGTCCCAGTCGATCTGGTCGTTTCTGGTTCGATACCAGCTTTGTCGTTCTCAGCTCGCCTCCAACGCTTGGTCACCGAAGTAACTGCTTTGATCTCAAGTCTAACCTACCCATGTTGTGACTTTCATCTTAGGTAGACGAAATCAATCAGGCGTCGGGCCGTAGTGCAAGCTGAATCCGGGGTAAAGGTGATACCGCACAAGCGTAAGTAAAAATAAAATAAAACAAACTCACGAGGTTCAAATATGTTGAGAAATAACAATTAACTTTATCTATCTGTTGAATACAGGAGTGTGTTTCTCTTCCGGCCCATTTCTATGGATCCGTGACACTTTTTGCGTTTCTTAAGCGAGTTATGGTATCTGAAGTCATTCGTCAATAAAAACTTGCTTTTGGCAGGAAGACTAAGTCGAAAAGGACGTGGAAATCTTTCGGTCAGCTTCTGCGAGGCCACACTGACTCTGTAACTTTGACCGTGTCTGGCTCTGCTGAAACTGTCTTCAGCTGCCTCGAGACCTTTGTTTATATGGACACCCACCAACTCCGGGGTGGGGCCTGACGTGGTTTGGGTTTATTTGACAATTCTTAATTCCCAACAAGAATTCTCTTTGTTCTTAGGCCAGGAAAATTAGTTACTTCCCATTTTTGGAAGATTAATCACTTTCCACTTCGGGGTTCCTCCCTCGTCCGTGAGGGAAGGTCGGAGGAGAGTTATCCTCCTGAACTCTTTCTCTCTCACATTGGTATCTGACGAGATTTCGAAAGATTTATTCAAATGTCTAATATTTGTTCAGGGATTAACAGCTCCCAAGGACAAGGATATCAGGTTGTGGATTCATACTACAAATGAAAAAGACGCTGAGATCACTTTGCAAAAAGTTACTGAAGAGTGCCAGCGTCTGATTAACGTAAAACGAGACAATGTTTTCAAAGTTCAACGAGTAAAAGCAAAAAAAGTCACAAACGTGATGAAAGAAAAATGTGAATGTAGCGGAGGATTTAATCATACAAAAATAATTGCTGGTATAAAAACAAGGTATGCTTTGAATGTGGCCGTAAGGGACATATCTAAATGCTATAAATGAAAGACAAAAACCAGTGAAAAAGTGAATGTGATTCTCTCCAAAAAGGAATTGGGGAATGGTGAGAAATGATAGTATGTCAATGGACATATAAATGGACATACGGTAACATTTCTTTTGGATTCAGGTTCTGATATTAGTATAATTGACGAACAGACATGGAGAAACATAGGTCGACCGGAATTGACTGACACGAAGAAAATTGCCAGAGGTATTTCAGGAAAAAGACTCAAATTTAAGGGTGAACTTAAGTGTAACGTTTCGTTTTGTGATAAGACTTTCAGGTCAAAAGTCAACGTACATCTTTCCTGTCTTTTCGGCAGATGGGATCGTGCTATTTAGTTTATGGGAATTGCCGGTAAACTGTTTTTGTAATCAGGTGAACACCTGGGAAAAGAAAAAATTAAAACAGACAGAAAAATTCATGCATGATTTGAAGGACGAATTTCCCAGAGTTTTGTCTGAAGGATTGGGTATATATTGGAAAACGGAGGTAAAATTTGAAATAAAAGAAAATGTTACACCGATTTTCAGACCTAAAAGAAACGTACCATTTTTTTCATTAGATTCTCTTAACAAGATTGGAAAAATTAGGTGTTATTTCAAGAGTGGATCACTCAGATTGGTCATTGCCTATTGTGTATATTAAAAAGAAAAATAATAGAATTAAAGTATGTGCAAATTTTTCGACATGCTTAAATGGCCGTCTAAAAGACCACAGTTACCCGCTTCCCTCACCCGAGTACATTTTCACAAAATTAAATGGGGGTAAAATATACTCTAAAATAGATTTGTCAGACGCATACTTGCAAGTCAAAGTCAACGAAGAGTGTTCCAAGTATCTGACAACACGCATAAAGGATTATTTAAATTAAAACGACTTCGTTTTGGTTTAAAGGTTGCACCTTCACTTTTTCAACAAATCATGGATACAATGCTTGCAGGGTTAGAATTTGCCATTGCCTATCTCGATGACATCTTGATGAAAAGTAAAAATATGGATGAGCATAAAAAACACATAAGGGCTATTTTCAAAAGAATAGAAGAATTCGGATTCAAAGGGAACGCCGGAAAATGTGAGTTTTTATGGAAAAAATTAAGTAACTCGGACAGATTGTGGATAAAGATGGCAGAAAACCAGATCCACGGAGAACTGAAGCCATAAGAAATATGCCTGCTCCAGATAACGTGCCAAAATTGCAATCATTTTTAGGATTGGCGCAATAAACATTCCAAAGATGTATGAATTAAGAGAACCGTTAAACGAATTGTTGAGAAAGTGGGCTAAATGGTGTTGGTCCAAAGAATGTGAAAAAGCTTTTTAAAAAAATTAGAAACTGTTTACTGACTGATTTAGCATTGGCGCACTATGACCGAGAAAAAGAAATCGTTGTCGCTTCTGACGCTAGTGAATATGGAATCGGAGTATTGCTACTTCACAAGTACGAAGATGGTTCAATAAAACCAATTGCACACGCTTCAAGGACAGCAGAAAAGTCAAATCGAAAAGGAAAGCTTAGCAATCATTTTCGCAGTTAAAAAATTCCATCGTTTGCTTCACGGTAGCGTGTTTACACGGCAAACTGACCATAAGCCATTACTGACAAATTTTGGATCAAAGGAGGGCATTCCAACTCATACTGCAAACCGATTACAGCGGTGGGGTGTAATATTATTAAATTACTATTTTAAAATGGAGTATATCTCAAAATTTTGCGGTTTTAACGGACGGACAAGAAATATCGCTTCTGCTGTGTAATACTGTTCAGGAACTACCGGTGACGCTGGAAGACACAAGGAAAGCAGCAGAAAATGATAATTTGATTAAAAATATGAAAATATAAACCAGGACAAATGAAATAAATAAAAAGGAATAAAAATTTCTCATTCGATCTGCGAAAATACGCTAATGTACGCAGACAGGGTGATGATGCCACAGGCATGACATAAAAAGATCTTAAAAGAATGTCATACGGGTCACCTTGGCATATCTCGTATGAAATCTCTTATGAGAAGTTATGTTTTCTGGCCACGAATGGATATAGACGTCGAAAATTTTGTGAAAAACTGCAGAAGGTGTCAGCTAGCTGCAAGAGCCCCACCAGTTAAAACACAACCATGGCCAGAAACAGATGTCCCTGGCCACGTGTACACATTGATTATACAGGACCAATTTAACGGGTATTATTACCTGATCATTGTGGATAGTTTCTCAAAGTGGCCAGAAGGTTTTAAATACAAACACCCAACTTCTAGAAATACTATCAGTGTCTTAGACGATGTTTGCAGCTGCTTCGGAGTTCCTCGGACATTGGTCAGTGATAACGGAATTGCATTTACAGGTAAAGAATTCAAAGAATTCTGTGCTTCGTTGGACATTGAACATGTCACAACTCCAAATTACCACCCAAGGTCAAATGGACAAGCGGAGAAATTTGTGGACACGTTCAAACGAGCATTGATGGAAAAATCAAGGGGTAGACACAGAGAAGAAAGCGATACAGAAATTCTTAGCAGTATACAGGGTAACATCGAACGCAAACAATACAGCAAAATCGTCCCCTGCTGAATTGATGTTTGCGAGAAAGATCAAGATTCGACAGATTGTTGTCTTGTCCAAAAAAGAAAATGAATAACAAAGAGAATTTCTGTGCAAAGAAATATACGCCTGATGACAGGTTTCTTCAGGAACTACCGAGGTGGAAAATGATGTTTTTTGGGTGGATGGAATTATTTCAAATAGAATTGGAAGAGTAATCTATACAGTAAAAGGAAAAAGATGTATATGCAAAAAAGGCACGTAAATCAGTTTGGAGTCAGATGGTCAAAGTTACAGGAACTTATTACGTTTTTATTTTTATTTTTTTCGTTTACCACTACAACAAAACCCCCCACATTCCATTCATGATGGTAGTACCCTCGCCTAATTTGCAGCAGTGGTGGTATACACTACCAATTGATTGAGAGGATTGTCTTCTTTAAGATTTAAAGGGTTCATTCGCTTGAAGCCGTAAACCAAATAATGTTCAGGAACTATCGTCTAGCTTCTTGTTTTCCAGTCAACTTTGATCTTCAAAAATTTAAATCAATGTCAATCGTTCTCTACCCTTGATTCTTGATTCCTCTTTTTCTTTTATTGTTCTCACTCATTAATAATGTTTTTCTTATTCTTTCACACCAGTCACCATTTGTGTCTTAGTGACTTTATTGCCTTGTTTGGGGTGAAACGATTAAAAAACAAAAGTTGATGTAGATGCCGAAGATGAGAGTGGAAGGAAAAGAAGAATTGTCTCAATACCAAAAGAATAGGAAAGAGAGTAGAGACAATAAGAATAATGATATGTCTCCTTAATCATTGAAATATATAAACAGTAAAAAACAAAGCTGTTATGATTAAGCTTGTGTAAGCCTGGATCCATTCCAAGCAAATATAATAGCTAAATTGTAATTTGATCCTAAAAGAACCTGAAAACTAACTGTAGCCATTGTAATATGACTATTTATTTTCCATTATACATACATTATTACGATGTCTCGTCTTCTCTGGTCAAAACATGCAAGAAGCATTTGTTTTGTTTTATATAATAGTTGTAGCTGATTTGTTTGGACATGCTTATTGCCAATACGATATTCTATATTATAAACGAAAAGCTCATTCTCCGTCTGTCGTACATTTTCATGTGACTCTGTATGCGTATGTGTTATGTATGTGACAATGTTTGCGTTGTGTTTGAGTCATTTAATGTCTACACTATGTTTACGACCATATCATATTGAAGCCCTAGCTCTAGAACGATCACCGAAGTTAAGCAATATCGTGCTTAGTCAGTACCAAGATTGGTGACCGCTTGGGAATACCAGGTGCTTTAGGCGTGGATGTGCGGATAGTAAAATGGATAACGGAACGAAATTGTTAATGGGAGAACCGAGTTCCAATTCCAGTTGGGTTCGTTATATTCACTTAAGCACAAATATCGTTGGGAAAGACACGAATCCACCTCAGCTGTGGGTTAATTAGCAGGATCTGTATTAGTGAATCATTATTATCTAAAAAAAAATCTTCCAATCTAAAAATGTTTTATGGCTTTAAATAACCTGCAAGAGGTTGATAAGTCATAAAAAAACAAATAAATTGATCACACACACAAAGTTTGAAATCAGACATCGGAATTATACATCTCTCTTCCTCTCAGTCTGGGCCGAATAATATAAAATTCATCAATTTGGAAACAATAAAAGAAAACTTTTTTTAAAAAAAAAAAAATCGTTTCACGCCAAGCAAGGTGATATTGCCACTAAGACGCAAAAGGTTACTCGGAGTGGAAGATAATGAAAAAACTGTAGTGAGAAGAAAATACAATAAAAATAACAGGATTCAGAAAGAAGGATGGTGATTGATGTTGAATTTAATTATTTTTAGTTTTATATTAGGAATATCTAAAAACGAGTAAAAATGATGAAAACAAACCCATTTAAATATTTGTCCTATCCAAAATACATGCGTAAATAAGTTAAATATTTTAAAAAGTATTCTGTATTAATTCATATTACTCTTTTTCATTTACTTAATTTTTATACTTTAATCATGTTTATATTTATATTTTATTTTCCTTACTCTACAAAAAAAGACAATCAATTTCTTTTAACCGATTTCAACATCAAATAACCCTTTTAAGCAAACCAACTGACTTGTTTTCAATTATTCATTATCGTAAATAAGCTATAATAAAATTAACGTCATTTTTAAGAAAAGCACCATTCAGGTATAAAAGTTATCTCCCTTCAATTTTCTATGTTTTGGTTTGTCAGCGAAGTGAACCATTCGATGAAGGGAATGCTCGATTTAACGCTTTCAGAGAAGCCAGTTTTCAGACAAATAAATTTCACTGAAAAAAAATACCCCCCCCCAAAAAAAACAGAACCTTTTAAAAAGAACCGATGTCATCCCTTAAGATAGATTTGCAAATTGAGATTAGGAGTGAGCAGAAGTTTGTTCTTTTCAAGAAAGAACAGCTTATACAGGGGTTTGTTTGGTTTGATTTGTTTTATGGCATATCAACTCCTTATGGGCCATTGAAGACCAGAGTATACAACGGCCGAAACGTCGTGAATATGGCAACAGAGATGAGGACAACAGTTCAAATAATGTAAATAATTACACTATCTCATCTCAGAAATATAAACATATATTAGACCATTATTGTCTCTTGATGGCACTTCGTACTCAAGCGGAAGTGTTTTTATATTCCCAGAAACAGACATTCATTTATTTATAACTAGCTTAAAAGCCGCACACCGTGTGGACTTTTACGCTGGCTTCTACAGAGGGCTAACTGAGCCTCTGACCCAAAACTAAAGTTATCTCTGTTCCAGCTGACAAAACAGCAATGATAATTTTGAAGAAATAACTTTGAACTCCTCAATTCCCACCATGGTATTTATAAAAACCTCACTATCTATGATTCAGGCTATAAGTCCAATTCCGGCTGAAAGTCTGATTTAGGCTGAAATTCCAATTCAGACTGAAAATTGAGTTTTTCAAATCAAACACTGCGGAATTTCAAAACCTTAGGTCACGAAACCTTTCGTTTTAACTCTGATTCCTTGACATTTTGAAGAAATAAAATTGATTTCTTGTATTTACAAAGTTTTTGAGATATTTTAAATTGGATTTAACACAAAAAATTAAATACACAAAGTTTTTGTGCTACTTTAAACTCAATATAAATTAAAAACTTAAAATCATTTTCTTTTTCAGTTATTTTAAAATTTGAATTTTTAACTGATCCCTCCTCATCTGGACACAAATCCCAATGCTGGATGTTCAAGCACCAAATGAAGAGCAGATTTTCAATCCAGGGATCATCCTGATTCCAAAAAAGTATGTCTATATAGAGCCAGTGTGACCTGAGTTAGAGGGGTTTCAGACACACAGAATTTTCCGTTTATTTACTTAGATTTTATTCTGTAAAATATCGCTATTTTTATTCTTGAACTTTATGCTTTTCGTCCTTGCTATTTGATATTTTATAATTTCACTATTTACATGTCGACTATTATTATCACAACGTTTCGCTCATTTTGCCCTCTGGTGTATGTCGATTCGGGTAACCCACAGGGAATTCCAAACTGAACTCATTATTTAGTCGACGGGGGGTATATTTTTTTTATTCCATTGCCCATGTCTAGGGATATCTCGTCTAGTTCCTATTTTTAGTATTTCTCAGTCATTGCCTACCACGTTTCAACCGAGTCCAAGCATACATTTGCTGACACAGGGATTAAACTCACAATTGCTATGTCACCAAATTCATGAACTAACGCTTTAATCCACTAGGCTATTGTCCCGTAGGACAATTCTCTGTGGATAACTTGGAGCCTTAAACATAACCTACTTGCTGATGTGTGCTGCTGCTTGTGATTATTTACTGCACTCACTGAAGCTTTTTGAAAAGTTCAATCTCTGGGCCGGGCAGTGTGTGCTTGTATTCAGTGGAAACGGACCAAGCAATAACAGTACTAAAAATAAGAACTAGACGAGATATCCCTAGACATCGACAGTGGAACAAGAACAATCTACTCAGTAAATTAAATAAAGGGTTCAGTTCGGAATTCCTTTTAGGTTACCGGGATCGATATGCACCGACTGAAAGCCGGAAGGTATAACGGCCGAAGTGTTGTGAGGATAGCAATAACAAAGATGAGGATGATAGTCTTCATGTAAATCGAGCAAAAAATGATAACTCTTCATCCCAGGAATTCGAACAACACTCTTAACTACAAGGTGTTTATACTCTTTTAACTTTACACAAGCACTGATAGTCCTGCGTATGACGATAAACTACATCCAGCAGCAAGGTTTCTGATTGGCAGATTGGCGGCTGTGAGGAGCGTGGACTCACCTCTTAATTGCTGTTGTTCCTAGGTCCACCCTGACCTGGGATGTTAGCACCTGTTATGGTCCTAGCTATGGGCAAATAGTGAACCCCCCCCCCGAACACCATGAAAGTATAAAAATACATTTTTATAGTTAAAATACCAGTAATACATTTTTATAAAAAAAAATTTACCAATAATGTTTATTTATTGCAGAATTACCTACGATACAATTTTTAAAAGGAGAATTACCAACAGTAAATTTTTATAGAAAAATGACCAACAGTACATTTTCTCTGTAGTTGAAGCCATAAAACTATGTTCAAAATATTTAGTTTTGGCATTAAATAACCCATGTAGGTTGATATGCCGCTAAACAAAATCAACCAACCAACAAGCGTCGATATTAAAACAGTAGAAACAAATGACTACCCCCCCAACAAAATTGAATGAAATGAAAAGCTATCAACTAAAATCTACAAAAACCTTGTGAAACCTGAACATAATATTTCCAAGCCTATGAATCATTTGCCCTAAACAAGCCTGTGCGAAGTGGCTAACCGGTCCAAGCCAGGTGGGAGATCTAAGTCCCATTTTATGCAGTTCATCTGTTTGTAATCAATACTAATTACATTTGATTTATGTATGAACATTTACTCCTAAGTATCTGATAAAAAGTGAGGGAACATTTATTTTTGAGAAGATTTCCTAACACCCCCGAGTTTATTAAGATCACCCCGTTTATTAAATTTGCATTTTTTTCCAGAGCTCATATAGGAAACTGTAATTATTATAATTAGTTCAAGTTTCTACTTGCATGCATTTATGATGGCATTGTTTAAAAAACAATGTTCCATTGTTTTTTTTTTATTCTTTCTAAAATTACCACGTTCCATTCTGTCTTGTTGTTTCTGTCACTATGTTTCAGCTGTTGTACCTTATGTATCAAGTGTAGATTGATTCTACCTGGAATTCTGAACCTTTTATTTAATCTATGGAGTCTCGTTCCACTACCCCTGTCTAGGGATATCTCGTCTAGTTCTTATTTTTAGTACCAATTATTGCTCGTCAGTTTCAACTAAGTTCAAGTACACACTACCCAGCCCAGAGATTGAAATCACAATTACTAAGTCACCAAATTCACGAACCAATGTTTAATCCACTAGGCTATTAACCTGTAGGGCAATACTCTGAACTTTGAGCTTTAAACTTAACCTTCCTGCTGATTAGTGCTGATGCTTCTCAGGCTTGACTGCTGCTGTTGTCGAAGACTATCATTTGTCTTTCTTTATTAACAGCTCCCATATCGTATTTATTTCTATGCAAGGCTAACTCAGCAGATCATCATACCCTAGTATATGTGCTGTATCTTTCGTTTCAGTTCGTATTTTCACTTCGTTCCACAGGGTCTGAAAGCTAACTTTCATACATGATCAGCCATGCCCGATTTCAGTGCCTCATCCAACATTAAGGCTTTTCGATGTTCCATATTTTGATAAACCGCTTTTATAACGTTTCTTTAGGTAAATTCTAAACTTTTTGACCATTTCAATAATTTTCCGATTACCCCTTTTATTAAGACGCCTCGTTTATTACATATTGAGAAATCTTGAGACCTCCGCCAATTAAGTAAAAGAACATAATAATAAAAGGACTAGAATGATTTCTAAAAAAGAGTTAACGGCAAACAATTTTATTCACAACTTATAAGACAATAGACTACAGGTTGTTACTCAATTGTTGAAACAAGGCAGCGGGCTCTTAGATGGGGAGATCTCGAAGAGCGTGAGGACCTTGATCAGGAGGAACAGTGGTTCCAGCAAGATGGTGCTCCTCCTCACACTGTTAATGTTAAAATGGCATGGCTCCATGAAAAGTTTGGGGAGCGTCTCATCAGCCTCAAAGCTGAAGTGGAATGGGCACCTTACTCGCCTGACCTGACCCCCCCTCACAGGATTCTTCCTCTGGTGGTTCCGTAAAGACAACATCT